TTGTTAATGTAATTTATACTTTGTTTTTGAAGTGTTAGTGTTATTTTAACATGAAAAACTGACACTCAAACGTGATTCAGTTGTTTGATAAAAAACCGCGACCATTTTGTTTTTCAAGCGTAGTGATTGTGTCAGTATTCTTTGCGAGTGAGGTAGGTTATATAACCAAAATATATTTTAGATTCTTGCTAATAGAAAAAGAAGGAAATCTTGTTTAGATCTTTATAGTTATGTAGGCAGATATTTACTTTTCTCTGTGGCAACACTAAATATGTCAAAACTAAATGTTTCTAGAGAAATAATAATAAAACTGACCAATGAGTGAGTACCTACATGCAATAGAATAATTTAGTTAGTACCTACATCAAGGCTTAGGTACCTATATTGTTTTTTAAACCTATTGTTTTGAAGTAGTATTCATGTCGTGTATTACTAAAGGATGCAGTAAGTACGTTAAGTACATTTTTATTTGGCAAGTGTATGCCAATTCATTTACAAGTTTCAGAACGATGTGTCTAGGGATATTTGGAATTTAATCTTTGATAGTTAAGTCATATAATCGCATATGACGAAATCCTTTTAAATCTCGTGTTTCTGGTGATTGTATGGGCATTTTAAAGCTGTTTTCAACGTGTTTCCATGTTTGGGGAAGTCAGTAAAAGTTCCCTTTTCTAAAGCGGTTTTGTTACGAGATTTTCGCGGTCACGTGTCCGCCCATGCAAAAGGAAAAATATCAGTATTTTGACGAAATTTCACAATGGTTGGACCCGTTATCTATGCTTCGATAAAACAACTGGTTTAGACTGTTACATGACCCATATTTATCCCATATTTAAATATTGCAATCAAAAATAATAATTTTAAGACGTAGTGGATGTTTAATTAGTGTTGCATGAGTAGTTACTGGATAGGTATAGGTAGTCACCTACTTACGTTGCATCACGATCATTATCATATGTACAGAGCAATGTCAAGAGGACATTGAACTCAACACTTGCATCCTTGAACACTTTTTCTACTTATCTTTTGATAGATAATTTTGTTTTTACATTACACTGTTTAAATAAAGATTGACGATGTTTTTCACGTGTAAGCTCATTCCGCGAACGAATGAGTAAGGCGCCATGTTTTTTTTTGTTTAAAAATGGAACGGTTTTGAAATAGCCGTTGGTATGTTCGGATTTTTTTCAAATCATTTTCGGCTTTATTACAAGACTATAATGTTTAGAATCCTTTATAGAATTTATCAGTTTTGTGTACATTGATCTGCTTTTGTCTGTACCTACAATTTCTTTGAATATTAGATGTGTGGTTGTTTTTAGGACAGATACTGGCGACTTCGTATGTGTGACGTCATACTATATCTTGTAATGGTTTATCAAAAGACTTGTAAGGAAAGTTGGCGTAGGTCAGGTATCGTGGCGCTATCGAAAGGATTAATGTTTTGAAAGATAATAATGTTTTTAGACATATTTTGTTCTTTTTAACTGAATTTATTAATGAATTTTTTGTGGTATGGTGGTATACTTGACCTGATATTTAATTGTATTTCGCAATATTGAGAAACTTTAATGGACATAGTACTACCTATTAGATATTTTGATGGATCCGGTTACATTAGATAAATGCACTTAAACATTATATTTAATCTCAGTACACATGACCTGTTAAACTTTTTAATTTATACAAAAATGGTCGCCTGATAACGGATACTTTGTATTTGGTATAATGGTTTATTTATAGCTATACTTAATCATTAATGAGAAATGCGCAATAGGGTAGATGACTATTTTTAATTTTAGGTCCGTCTGGTAGATTATTTTAAATCATTAGACACGTATATTTTATTTTCTTACGGAAACGAATAGTTTCGAAGATATATTGATTTGAAATATCGCATGACGTCACTTTTGAGTACGATTTATACTCTAAAACAACGTAGCTACCTCCCACTACTAAACTTTGATTCGTTTTATCTAAGTATTGTTTTCTTATACCTACGACAAAATAAAAAAAAATACGTGTCTAATATTTTTTCATTACCTAACTGACGTACTTATTAGATTTCGAATTTTCATATCCCTATTGTGAATAGCACCGATAGTGGCAAAAGTGATTTTTAAAGTATAGTGGTAGCTAATACCTACGGTTATCCTTATAATAAAAGGTTATTTTGTATGCATACTTAACTCGTCGAGTACCGGTTTTATAGACACAATTAACTCGTCGAGTACCGGTTTTATAGACACAATTAAAGAACAATAAGTCGCGGTCACCGGTGACCGCTTGGTGTTTGACAGTTTAAAGAACAATAGGTCGCGGTCACCGGTGACCGCTTGGTGTTTGACAGTTTAAATAAGCTTAGGTATATTTATAGACAAATAAAAAATTTAAGAGCGTCTCAAAAGATCAGTGCATAGACAATATGGTCATCATTAAGGACCAAAAACATCTTTAACAATAAAGACCTTGAAATAATATACACCAGTAAGAGTCTAATTGCAATATTGGAATTTCCAATCGTTAAAAACACCCGGAAAATCTGTGGACCTAAACATACCTATATTTGGTAAAAACGTACAATGATAAGGAAAATAAAGAAGGTGCAATGCTGTTCAGAGAAATGTGAGTTTTCCGTACTAGAGAGGATCGTTATCGTAACAGTCCACCAGTCCAATACATAACATGGCATTACCATAATCTGCACAGCCGTCACAACACCCACAGATGGGGCCTAATAGGGCTGATGCCGATACGGTGCCGCGGAAGACTTAACGGGTTGCCGGTGCTCCGGTTCGAAGTGCAGGAGTAGGAACGGGGTGGTTTTTAGTCCGTAATAGTCTGACACTCCCTCTCGCCTCACCCGGGCTGGAGAAGTCATTGGATGATTTTACCCCTCAAAAAAAAGCCGTCACATCACATAATATACAATAAACTTTTTAAATGCTATCTCCAGATATGTCCAGATAGCATTTAAAAAAGTTTAGGTGTATCAGAGAACCCTAATAAATCTCCCGATCGATTTCCATCATGGTAGCAAGTCTAACTACTAGACTAGATTAGCCCACTACGCAGGAGATATTATAGTGCACAAGTATTTGCGCAAACACAACTGCACTCTCTATTTCTTCACTCTCTGGACCCGATGGGACAGCAGACCGTCACGACCGGAGATCAGGATCAGGACCAACGGCTTTACGTGCTTTCCAAGGCACGTGGGTACCGCTGAACTTCCTGATTCCGATTCAGAAGTCAGAAAATTCCATTATCACTTTGGCTGTTGCTATTCGTTGCACAACAGCAGGTCATTCAACCACTGCACTGAACGCCAATCGTGGAGAGAACCCTACTCTAATGGCATCTCACAGCCTTAATATTTAACAAAAAAATCCAGAAGATTTTAATAAATTGTAATTATGTTTGTTACCTATAACAAACATCATTAAATCGCTTAAAAACTTTTTACAAGACTCCTTTGTCCATTGGCAATCATTTCATGTTCCATTTTTGCGAAATCATCGTCAATACTGTTCAAAGTGAAACAAACCTGACCTACCTCAACGAGACCTTGGAATCAACTATAATAGACGCTGATGATCTCAACTCGACCGCGTCATTGCAAATAAACATTAAGAAAAAAATATGTTGAACATAGAAAAAAAGTTTGTCAATTTCATGCCAAATGCATTGGGGATATGACACCGTATTGGTGTTGAAATTACGTGTGTGTTGTTGATATGTTTTTGAAATAATTATGATGATTTTTTGGTCATTATACAATCAATTTTGGCTTGTTTTACAATGCCATAAGAATGTTATGGCAGAGTCAAAGATAATAGTTGTGTTGTTTTGTCAATCACTGTCCTTGCAATACGTATAATGCCGATTCGTAAAATCGGATCGCTCTAGCTTTCCCAAAACAATACGAGTTATATCATAAAACTATTACTAAACATGTCAAAATCTATTAACCTAACTAAAAGATGCAAATCGAGTTAAGGCAAATTAAATAATACCCTGTCTCGTATGCTATGATAAATGGGTTGCGTGATCTAGGAGTCATTAAGAGGCTTTCAGAGCCAAAAGATGCGGTTACCACGAACTTCAAATAACTCAATTCACTACATACCTACATAGTCCTTAATTCAAATAGTTCTGTGACACGTCAGCCGTTATTAATGTTTCTGAGAACCTAAAATCTAGCTAACCTGGTGAAAACTCTGCTCCTGACGACTCACGTCTAATGTCAGGTCAAACTAAGCCATTTTAGACATCGTACACATCGGTGGGGGTGCAATGAATAGTAGAATGTAACAATGCGATTATAAAGTTGAAATTTCATTTATGAACTACTACCAAAACGATGTTCCTGATTACGAATTTAGTAGTAATCGCTTTAATAAATCCTTACTGTCAGATAAAGTTTTATATCGATTTTCCCTGAAGTATTTATCCCTATATTATTTACAACCTTATTCTTAAAAATCTTTCACCGAACAGCTAAGTCGTAATCGGCGTCGAACTTGTACCTAAGCTATTTAGCAGGCCAATATTCAACATTGAGCAAGATCCTTTGTAGCAGTCCAAACCATCTTCCAAACAAAGATAAATAGAAACTCTTTATTGTACAACAGTTAAGGTCCAGAAAATTAACCAAAATTCACAAGGCTTTTTTATGGCATAAGCCGATAAACCAGCAGACGGATCACCTGATGGTAAGCAATCGGCGTCGCCCATGGACACCTGGAACACCAGAGGTGCTACAAGTGCGTTACCGGCCTTTTGGGGCTTAGGAGTTTGAGGATCGTTGGGATTCATGGGGAATTGGGGAGATTGGGGAGCGTAATTGGGCCTCCGGTAACCTCACTCACACGACGAAACACAACGCACGTTGCTTCACGTTGGTTTTTTTGTGAGGCCGTGGTATCACTCCGGTCGAGCCGGCCCATTCGCGCCGAAGCATGGCTCTCCCACACTTACAACTTTTGCTCTTGTTACAGGTGCAACTGATGTCCGCGGTGAGTGGCGAGCCGATGCTGCGCCGTGTGAAGCAGGAGACAGAGCCACCGCCACATTACTCGCCACCAGAACCCCAGCCACCTCATCCACAGCCGCTGCACCCTCGCACTATGCCCATGATGCAGCCCGAGGTAGGCTTCTGATCTTTTTGTGTGACTAAAATGTTCTTGATTATCTTAATCATTGAGTGTTGACGGTGTCCACTGCTGGATAGACCTTCTGTTGTGGGTGTTTTATCATAGTCTTTACACTACCAAATGATTTTCGTAAAGCTAAGTAATAGATAGGATAAGTCACGAGGACTGAAAGCGCTGAAATTTACTTTGAGACTGTAGAGCTACGCTTTTGATTAGACCATCAAATCTAGATTATTATAGGAGGGCAGAAAAAAAACACATAATTCTGCTTTGACTCGCTCCTTGCATAAGAATAATCCAATTTGATAGCAATGCCTCAGAAATTAAGATGCAATATGCCATAAAGTTTTGTCACTGCTTCGTATTAAATTTAAAACATTGTGTAATTGCATTACGATGTAAATTACATTTAAAGGTGCACGTCCGACGACTTCGAACATATTTAGTAGAGGCCATTAACACTAAAATATGAACGATTTTCTTACATTCATGCGTCATAAACATGAGTCAGAGAGAAAAAAATCGCATCCTTGTCTCTCTCAAAGTTACTTAGATCAAATTTTAGGGTCACTGGGCAGCTACCATTAACCTTCTAAATCGATCTTAGACTTTAGACCATTGTCAATAAAGTGGAGTATCTAATATTTGTCTAAAGGAGTTTAAAACCTTTTCAAGCAAATTTCTTTTCGCCAAAGTAATGTTCGTGGGAGTTAGGTACATATTTTTATATAGACCACGATGGCGTCGTAGGCTAGGCATTAAATAACTGTATCGATCTAGTCTATTTCCGATCGCAAGAAGTTGTGTTGGTCCCTAATTGGATTTCAATAGGCGCTGTTTCTTTGATACTTGGGTATATTATTTAGCGAGTTAGTTCAGATATAGAAAAAGGTTTTCTTGAAAGCAGGTTTTGATTATAGCAAATAATTTTTCAATTCTATAATTATTCTCCAAGTTTTGATTACAATGAAGGACATTTCGATTCGGATTCTTATTAGGTTTGTACCTCAAGAATCAAGAGGATTTCATTTTAACTTTGTCATTCCCCCAATTCCATTATTAAAGCGTGTAATTGCAAATTTTATTAAAATAAAAGTAAATCGTGATTAAAAATACAGGTATGACAAGTCCTTAAAACAAAAATCACGATCATTATGAATAATTGAAAAAAAATATGGTCGCGCTTCGTCGGTCAAAAAATGGTCGCTTCGTTTTTCTTGCAACACTTGTTAATCATTGCGTCCGCTGGTTTTTTGGTAGCACTTTATTTAAACGATTTGAGAACTTAATAATAATGCGCATTAAGAAATTAGTCGGCCAGTTTGAAGATTAAATTATTATTATTACACTGTTTTAATCGACGTTGTGTTGTGTGCAGTGTTGCAATATTTCAAAAAAGTATTCACATCTAACAAAATTACCAAACAGTTAATTTTGAAAATAACTTATTTATAAATAGTGGTTACCCTTCCAACAGTTGGAATTGGAGAGTAAGGAGGACGTCAAATTCTGCGTGTCTCCCGGAGACGGAACTATTGTGGGCAACACAAGCCCTGAACAGCAGCACTGTTCCTCAACCACTGCTGCTGCAGCCAGTGGAGCAAGGGATGATGAGGCACCAAGGAGGGTCTGCCTCGTCTGCGGAGACACTGCCTCAGGGTTCCACTACGGAGTTGCCAGCTGTGAGGCCTGCAAAGCGTTTTTCAAGAGGACTATTCAGGTGAGTCGGAAGGTGATAAAATTTTTTGATACTTTTATTCATTTCATCATGAACATCATCAAGCTTCTGGGATTACTACTAAGCTCGGCATTCAACAAATTCATCCATCATATATTTATCTACAATCAAGTAGTACATTATGGCTGCGTTCGTGCTAGCTTTCATCCTATGAGATTTTCTACCTTATTAGCAAGGCTTTTGGTCTATAATTGACGAATGTGTGGTAGGATTGCCTGCCAAAATATAATAATCAAGATACATAAAACACGTGAGATTTCATGACATTAAAATTTAGCTGTTTTTCACAAAAATACTCGAAAATATTGTTCGACTGCTATTAAAGTTGGATTCAAGCCAGTTTCTAAAATATTTTATCTATGCTTTCTAAATAATAGGCGGTGTCCAAACACTCGGACAGCTATATTTTTTAAATAAATCATGACCTATCTTTATAAGAAATTTTATCCAAAAATGTTGATCCGTTTAGGCGTTGAACTAGCAAACGTTAATACTAAGATGAATAAATTAATTCTGTGAAAATTTCTGAATAATAAATGGTTTATTCACAAATATTTGACATCATAACTCGCCTAGTTTCAAGCCATGCTGGAGCTCATAATACTTTAAGTCTAAGTGTAATGGTATAATTAATAGTTTGACATATTTTCTTTAAAAATATGTGTCAGTTAAGCTAACAACAACTTAATCAGACATTATGAATTGGGCCCTTTATACGATGGAATATCACAAGACATTTCTATTAGGTTCTTAGTAGAATTGTTGAATCGAATGTTTATTTAAGACAAAGTTACTCCAGTCGGATGGAGTTTCAAGTAAACACGCTGATCTTCTAACTCTCTAGGATTTACGATTAATTCGTAACTTATATTAGGTTCACGTTGTTTTTTTTTTTTGTTTTTTTTTTTCCTAATACGGTTTGGGATTTGGAGGCTTTTCTTAACTCTGTTATTTGAAACAATATTTTTTGTCTATGTTTGTAATAAATGTACCTACGTGTTTGATGTATTTGTTAGCTAGGTAGCCAGATTCTGATTTTAACCCATTAGACATCTAGAGAAAAGAAATGGCGTCTTTAATACTTTTTTAATTATTTAATAATTGATTGCACGGTTGGTGCGGTGGCTGGGCAACCGGCTGCCGTGCAACGTGTCGCGGGTTCGATTCCCGCACGGAACAACACTTTGTGTGATCCACAAATTGTTGTTTCGGGTCTAGGTGTAAGTGAACTATACTAATGTGTATGTGAACTTGTATGTTTGTAAACGCACCCACGATACACGGGATAATCTTAGTGTGGGGCAACGTTTAAAAAAATCTTAGTTATTTTATGATTTTCGTCTTATTCAAGTAATTATTTGCCGAAGTACTCTACTAGTTTCAAGCCATGCTAGAGGCTCATAATCATGAGCAGCAATTCGCGACCAAAACCAACATTTTGAAAAATCTCACGTGTGTTTGAGGGATGGGGAGAGTGTTAGTGAATAAAATCTCAGGAAATCTCACCGGGGGGGGGGGGGGCAGAAAATAAAAAAAAAACACCTCACGTAATTTATGGACGCCCCCTTTTTTTCTCATTCTAATAATAAAATGTTGTGTGTATGTAATTAAGATTCTAATATGATTCACTTAGTAATACATAGCGAAGTAGATAATATCGGTACAAGTACCTATGTAAACGAGTCTTCATCGGCATTGCCCACATATTTCACTCGGCGTAAATTACACGGTATTTTAAACAGATTCCTGCCAAATGTAACGGTTGCCAGCTAAAGAATTTTAAAGTTTTCCACTCTCTTTCTAAGGAAATTTTTTCTGTGTATTATAAAGAAATGGTCGTTAAAATGTATCAACACGCTTTTTATTTCCTGAACGATGTGACAGTTCATGTAATATTTACTTTTCGTTGTAATTAGAGATGCAACGAATAGTTGTTTGATACCGCCATACCGGATACCGGATATTCGGCCTGACCATCAGCCGAATATTCGGTATCCGGCCGCCGAATATTCGACCGGCAGTGTGATACCTACATTTTGAGTTTCGTAGGTGCGTGTCGCGAATCGCCACGCCACTCGCCGTGCAGGTTTTGACTTGTTATTATAAAAATCTGTATTGATATTATACTTGATAATCAGATATATACGATCATTAAAAAAAAATCAAAAAGTTAGGGAATAGCCTATCTAAGCTAATAAAAAGTTAACAATTATTTATAATAATAAAAACATTCAATTACAACTGTGTCTTTATTTAGATTTCATTTGTAAAATCTACCAAGTTTACTATCCGGTATCTAGCCGGATAGTAAATAACGGCCGCATAAGCCGGATACCGGATAGTAACCGAATATTCGGTGCATCTCTAGTTATAATTGTTTATTTTATACATTTCACAGAGCTTCATTTTCATTGCTTACAACATTATTATTAGTATTGTTTAATTTATATTAAATCTTGTAAAAATATGTATCGTTTTAATAGACCAACTGTATTGAATAAAGAAATTCTGTTAAGAAAATTCAAAATGACTAATCTTAATCAATTCTGCGATACCAGGGCAACATAGAATACACGTGTCCTGCGTCAAATGAGTGTGAGATCAACAAGAGGCGGCGAAAGGCGTGCCAAGCATGTCGGTTCCGCAAGTGTTTGCGCACGGGCATGCTGCGGGAGGGGGTGAGGCTCGACCGCGTGAGGGGGGGACGGCAGAAGTACAGGAGGGCACCTGACGCACCCGCCCTAGCTCAGCCCAGGCCACAACTTGATGATATTAAGGTAGGTTCTGAACCCTTGGTCTTCTCTTCTGGCTGGGTAGTTCCTAATTTGTTTTAGTGAACTGGTTAGTTCCTAGTGCATTATTCATTTAAAGAATAACTAGCTTTTAACCGCGGCTTCGCTCGCGTCACAAAAGGATAAAAAGTAGCCTATGTGACATATACCAATACACACAGCGCCATCTATACCAATACTTTTGTTTTCCCTCGGGAATATCAAATTTTTTCGGGATAAAAAGTATCCTATTATTTAATCCAGACTTCTAACTTTACGTCTACAAAAATTCTAAGCAATCGGTTTAGTAGTTACGGCGTGAAAGCGGAACAAACAAACAAACAAACTCACTTTCCAATTTATAATATTAGTAAGGAAAAGGATTAAGACATACACTCAAGATATGATAGAAACTACAATTTCTCACAAACTATCAAATTGTAAACTTTCATACAATTTCTTTTCAGGTCTTAGAAGCTCTGAATTCATACGAGCCGGAGTTGCTGACATGCTCAGCGGTTCCAGCGAGTGTCACGGACCCCACAGCCAAGACCCTGGCGATGTTAGCAGACTTATATGACAAGGAACTGGTCGGAGTCATCGGATGGGCCAAGCAGATCCCTGGGTTCACTGAACTACAACTTAATGATCAGGTAATAACTCCAAGAATATTAATAACCAGCTGATCTAGAAGTTGTGGGGGGCAGCCTAGGTCCAGCGGTGGACGTCTTGTGGTAGATGTGATAATGGGATACATTAATTATTGGACGAGGTATCTCGACTAGTTTCGTGCCACGACTGGGGCCCATAGATGACTATCGCCGCGTGAATGAACAGTTACGTAATTAAATAGCAAATAATTAATTGAATGTAACTCACGATAGTTATAACACAAACATTATTATAGAAAGTAGAAACAGTAACTTTACGATGTCATCATATTTTAACCGACTTTAAAAATTATAATATATTATGATTATTGACCTGTATGTTTGTGCGCGATTACCTCACGATTGACTAAACTGATTTTGATGCGGTTTTCGGAAATGTAAGAAAAGGTTTTAGTATATTAATTAAGCAACTTCAATAAAAGAGGAGGTTGAAGTCGGCTTTTTAACGTATATAGTTTATAAAAAATATTAGATTCTATATCTTATTAGATCCCATGTCTTAGTTTTTCAAAATAATTTTCAGTACGGTAGTGCGAATCAGACTGAATCACAGTGTTTTACATAGAGCGACTGTCATCTGCCTTTTAATACACTAAGGATGATATTAACTCGTGATGGGATAGGATGATGTCGTAACAGGCGTTGCACCGGGCTCCGGAATAGGTATCTTTTGAGGACCCGGTGCCTTCATACAGGGGTTGAGGGTGGTTTTAGTGAGGTAAAAATCCCACACTTCCTAGTCTTTTATCCCCAAAAAGCTAAGCGCCATTTGAAGGCTTCCGCCCATAATTTAAAAAAAAGGATATGGCTATCCATAACCAGTATAACCTGACCGATGAACGTGCTGAAAGATCATTTGAAACGAGACTATGATAAATTGGTTTTGTACGCCTTGATATGATGTGTATACAATATTGAACTAAAACATTCAGCCTAACCCACACAGGCATGAAAACCTTGACTGCAACTCACACATTGACACATGAATTCACAGACGCACACTACAACACGTCAGACAATAGACTTGGATATCACACACACATACAAAAGGTCCACAGATAACGAAAAAACTCACTTCCACATGTTACGAATTAATAAATCCTTCCAAATGTTATAAATGTAAAGTGTTTGTTTGTCTTTATGTCACTTATTTGTTAAATGCTGTATAGATTTTGATGGAATTTTGATTATGGGATAGTTTAAAGACTACTAGGACTGTAGTAATATCGCCTATAAACTGTTGGAAGATTTTAGTATAATAAAGCTGTTTGCCCATTTTTTTAAAAAATTACAATTTTTGAACCATGCCACTAACCACAAAGACTTATTCATCTTTTGAGATGCTTCTCAAATTAGATCACTTTCCCTCTATCTCAAATTGCATGATTTTACAAACAAGTAACACGAGCAAACCCACAAAACAGAAGCTAGTTACCATATAAATTAGGTACTAAACTCAAGGTTGCAGTCCAGACTATACTTATTATAGTTTTTCTGATCAAGATGATGTAATTATTATACTAATTTAAATAATAAGACTGTCCCGTTGGCAGAGTAGTCACAACTGCGACTGCCAGCAAGGGGTCTCGAGTTCGATTCCCGGGTCGGGCAAAGTACTACTGGGATTATAAAAAATTTTTAGTAATAGCACGGAGTCTGCAATTGTGCCCGGTAAATGGCAGTAGGCTTCACCCTATTACATGGGACTCATAACATAAATAGTGAAAAGTGAGTGTTACATTGTACAGTGGCATTAAGTGCCGTAATGTGCACCTATGCCTACCTTGCCGCGGAGGACCTAACGGGTTACCGGGGCTCCGGCTCGAAGTGCAGGAGAAGAAACGGGGTGGTTTTTAGTCAATAAGAGTCTGACACTCTACCGCCTCACCCAGGCGGGAGGAGTAAATCGATGATTTTCCCCCTTAAAAAAAAATGCCTATCCCTTCGGAGATAAAAGGCGTTATGTTTAAATAATAAGAATAATTATATTCCTAATTCTGAGCGCTTTATTCGTGTGTACGGGACTTTATTGCTGTGTTTGTTTGGTGTGTCGAAGGTCGAGGTTCGTTAACGGTGTCTATCTATCCGTCTATATTTTCACGGCCAATGTTTTATTTTATGTTTTTTGTATTGGAACTACAGTCTTTGTTAGCGTGTTTTGTAGGGGGTAGGTAGGAATATGAATGTAATGCCCGAATACTGAAACGCTTCTTAATTTTAATTCACGCAGTTAAAAAAAGGAAAGAATAAAATAACTATTTTTATTTTTTCTAAAAGTACTATCCAAATTAAAATTAATAATTTAGAAAAAACCGCTCTATTATTAATCGTTTGAGTAGAATTGCAGTCAGACAGTGACGTAACATTAATGTAACTGTACGGTTGCGCGTGCGCATATAATAACTAGTTTTGGCCTTAGACTTGACATGTTTAAGGCCGTCTGCAGTCTGTCTGATTTTTTATATATATCTAACTGTTCATATATAGATAGGTATAATTATATATCTATAATTAGTCAGTTTTCAAATTAATTTATAAAAGTTGTGTTTATAAAATGAACTTGATGGCCTTGGTTTGGTTGTTGTGTGTGTGACTGATTCACTAAGTACTGGATTCGATTTCCTTGTCGGAAAAAGTACCGTTAATTTTTTGTGTGCTCGTAATACTGATTTAGGTTGCGTTATTTTTATATTTTCGCTACTTTTAGCTGATTGTATTTTCCTGTTTTTTTTTCAAAGACGATGGTGTAAAGTTTATTTTGATTCATAGGGAATAAACTCCAACACTTGGAAGTACAAAATCACATACATAAGATACAGTGGCCATTTACCTACTCTAATATGTCAATTTTTGTCATTGAATTTCCAATTTTACATCTAAACGATAGGGGTGAAAATATAGCATCATAACTGCCCGGTATATGGCAATAGGCTCACCCCCTATTACATGGGACTCATAACATAAATAGTGAAAAGTGGGTGTTACATTGTACAGTGGTATAATGTGCACCTCTGCCTACCCCTTCGGGGATAAAAGGCGTGATGTTATGTATGTAGTTAAGAATTAACTAATGATTGAAAAATTAACCCTTAGTCTAGGTAACTAATCTAATCTCATCAGTCTATTTCATATTTTTTTTTAGTACTAAATACAATTTTTCTCCACAGATGCGTCTCCTCCAAAGCACATGGGCGGAGATGTTGTCCCTGATGTTGGCATACCGGTCCATGTCCGGCGGCAGTCCACTGCGGCTTCGTTTCGCCACAGACCTCGCTCTAGATGAGCAGCAGGCCAGGGAGATTGGGGCACATGATTTGTTCACACAGGTACGTTTTACATTCATTTATTACTAGCTTTTACCCGCGGCATCGCTCGCGTCACAAAAGGATAAAAAGTAGCCTATGTGATATATACCAATACATACAGCGCCATCTATACCAATATTTTTGTTTTTCCTAGGAAATATCAATTTTTTCCGAGATAAAAAGTACCCTATTATTTAATCCAGACTTCTAACTTTACGTCTGCAAAATTTCAAAGCAATCGGTCTAGTAGTTACGGCGTGAAAGTGAAACAAACAAACTCACTTTCCGGTTTATAATATTAGTAAGGATGTATGGCTGGTATTGCACTCGATGAATTGATATTATGTCTATCCATTTCTATCTAACCTTTAGGATAGCAAAAGGCTTAATTAATAATGTTATTGCATAAAAATAATTAATGATAACACAATTACCTATCCCATGGAGTTTCTTGCTCGTTTTTCTCCATTGGAATCAACACCTTGGAATAAGCAAATAGCTTCACTTTAAGTTCAAAAGTACTTTTCTGGTCTAATTTAACAGTTTGAATTTGAAATTAAATATATAAACTAAATAACAACTATGCCTAAAATATATATTATTCTATTTTATTTTAGATTATAATTTATTTCAAATTTTCAGACTGTCTAAGAATAGATATAAGATTATTCTTAAAATTTTGATAAGTAGCTGAATATCAAAATTTTAGATTTTTATTAAGTTTTTTTTTGGTAATTATGAACGATTAAGTTGCTACAATGGATGTGTTGCAATTAATTATTGTTTAATTTTAGTTAGCAATTATTCTTTAGTTTGACGTCAATTGATGTAATACGTAGGTTGTACACGTGTATTGCAGAACTATTTTAGAATTTTAATTTTGCCTCTAAACATTACCTAGCTTTTTCGATATGATTCGGCTTTGATAATGTACATACGGCTACATATCGAGCTTTACACAACCAATATAAACTGAACGTTAAATGTGCGGAAAGATGATGCGACGCGACACCAGGATAAACTGGTTTTGAATAGATTGATGTGTGGCCCTGTGTACTTTATCTTGTTTCCTTTTAAATACGTAATTTTTTATAGCTAGTAACTACTGTGATTGTATGATACAGAACACTCACTATCGCAAAAACTATAGTCTACATTATGTGATATGATATATCTTGCACATGTTTAACCGGAACTATTTTTGATACAATCACATTTTTATGGGGTAAGCCGGTAAACGAGCAGGCGGATCACCTAATGGTAAGCAATCGGCGTCGCCCATGGACACCTGGAACACATTTACAAGTGCTTTACGAAATCGAAAATTGTGAAACTCTCCATACAAACTACCACTTAGAGAAGTAGGGGTTAGAAAGAGACAAAAAATAGCCTATGTCAATCTCCATTCGTTTAACTATATCTATTTGTAAAATCACACCATTTTATCTCTTCGTTTTGCCGTGAATCACGGACAAACAAACAGACATACAAATACTTTCATATTTGTGATTACATACATTAACATAACATCACGCCTTTTATCCCCGAATGGGTAGGCAGAGGTGCACATTATAACACCGTACAATGTCATTGTAACACCTACTTTTCACTATTTATGTTATGAGTCAATGTAATAGGGGATGAGCCTATTGCCATATGTCGGGCACAATTCCAGACTCCGTGCTACTACTGAGATACTACATATATGTGATATTATTATGATTTTTTTTCACATTATGTAATTAATTTGATCGATATATAATAACAAAGAATTATTATTGTATATTCAGATAGCAGGCGTGGCGAAGAGGTTGGAGCGTGCAGCAGCGTTGCGCGAGGAGTGCTATTTACTGAAGGCGCTCGCTCTCGCCAACTCTGAAGCAAGGATCGACGAGCACGCCGCACTGCGCCGGTTCAGGGACTCTATACTCGCCGCGCTTAATGATGCTGTGTCTGCACTCAGGTTGGTATTTGTATTTATTTATATGGTGCAAAGGGTTCTGGTAGATGGTTATAATTGTGCTTTAGGGAAATATTAAGAAGACTAGCTTTTACCCGCGGCTTCGCTCGCGTCACAAAAGGATAAAAAGTAGCCTACGTGACATATACCAATACATACAGCGCCATCTATACCAATACTTTTGTTTTCCCTCGGGAATATCAAATTATTCCGGGATAAAAAGTACCCTATTATTTAATCCAGACTTCTAACTTTACGTCTGCAAAAATTCAAAGCAATCGGTTTAGTAGTTACGGCGTGAAGTCGGAACAAACAAACAAACAAACTTACTTTCCGATTTATAATATTAGTAAGGATGCTTTGAAAATCTTCCAACAAAATTCAGAATTTTTACTTTCCAGTACACAATCTCATTTCAATCTACTGTTGATTAATGACTTGATTACGGTGATCTACTATAGAATGTCTCTACAATAACTTTTGGACTGTATAGATTTTAAAAAGCGTAGGGTATTTCGATTCCTGTCATTTTATACCGAGTATGTTAATTCTCTTTTCTCTTACATCAGTCGAGCTAAGAACTTCACATTATTTATTTATTTATTTATTTATTCTTTAATGTACATAATTTGTTTATGGCACATAAGGCGAACTTAATGCCATATGGCATTCTCTACCAGTCAACCTTAAGGTTTAAGCAGAAAATCTGCGAAAACTGAAAACTTATGACTTATTCCAGGCCTTACAACGGTAACTCGGCCCTGCAACAGCTGCTGCTCGTCCTGCCGGCGCTGCGGCTGGCCGACGTGGCCGTGCGCCGCTTCTGGGCCGGGGTACACCGGGAGCGACGCGCGCCAATGAACAAACTGTTCGTGGAGATGCTGGAGGCATGTCTGCGGTAGACCACCAGGTACCCAGTGCACCCTGCCCCTACAAAACCCCTTTTCGTTTCTTCACCTACGGCGGGCGACGCGTCCCCGCGCTAAATGTACAAAACGATGGACGGATCTAGTACAAAACTTGTTACTATTTTTGTATAATATAAAAAAAATATATCTAGTTTTACTGTGAGGTTTCGAGATTATTGTATGGTCGAGGAAATGATAGGCTGTGCTACTATGACCTGGAACGTCATTGTGTAGCTTTAAATGAGAAGCTGTAGCTGTCTGCTGGGTACCTCGAACCCGTGTGATGGTATTTTTTCCCCGACCGTACGGCTTCTGTCTCGGTAAATGCGGGGGCCGTATTCGGCGCATTTATCATTAAAATATTGTTTTTATTCTCCTTGTTTTAATTGCTAAGGTCGGTCGGTTTTCACTGCGGCTGAACGATGCCGATGCACCTATATTCGTTACTAGAATTTCAAAGTACAAATATACATGTTAGTTCTACATCTGGGTAAAGAACTAAGTTTTCTCTACGAACGGAATGCGATGTTTTACTAAGTATTATAATGTAAGAAATATGAATTAATGATTACTGTACAACCAATATATCTTGACCCGTCTGAAGTGCGCTACAAAAGTATCGTTGTCCCTTTCAATCGCTATTGTTCCTGCTTATCGACGTCCCGCTCACTTAGTGGAACTCCTAACTTCAGGGGGATCGAGATATACTAGCTGTACTTTAAATTCTTATTTCCCAATTGAGCCGCAGTGTCGCCGCACCACTACTCTAATGTACAACTGTTTTTTATAAAATATGAAACAAATAACAAAAATAGAATTTATTTAATGAAAGCAGATTATGTAGCAATATTTACTATATAAACGTTATAAATGTTTCTAGAGCTGTTCCACTAAAATAATAATATTTTAACCGAACTGTTAGTCGTGTAGTGACGCCATGAATGTCTGATCCTTTTGTCAGCATTGTCTGGGTAATTTGGAACAAATTATTTGGCCAATGTTGGTGTTTATAGATGTAGTGACCCTATATTGGATGGATGTATTTTTAAACGCGTTTGAAAGTAGTTTTCTATTTAAATTAACGTGTAAACTATAGTTGTAACACAATGTTAGTTGTCCTAATCGCAGTTAAAAATATTTTCAACTAATATTTTAGATTGCTATGGTGTTTATCATGGCTTTTGTGACCCCAAAAGGCCCAGTGACGAGAATATTTTGTTAGAAATAATGTCCTGTTCATAAAAGCCAGTTTTTTGGAGTTTGTTTCTGTTATCAGTCGTGATTGTAACATATCTGTAGGTAGTTTAGAATAATGTACAAAGTACAAGGAAATAATACTCTTCTGGGCTTCAAAATGACCCTTGTTCGTGAAAAAATCGCTTGGCAACCTTCAAGTAAGGTTAAGTTAACAATTGTCGAAATTTTATTGATTGTATTATATTGAATCTTTGATAGAGAGAGAAATTAACGAGTGCTACCACCAAATCGAATGTAAATAAAAACAAAGCTACACAAATATAATCTTTATGGATAAGGGGATTAGAATCAAAATACGAAAGCATGCTCCAAACGAAACACTATAGCAAAAACGTATACCTAAGTGTAACATCACACATTGTATTAAGTACCTAATTATTGATATGTAAATATTAAAAAATAGATTTAAAAAAATATATAGTGGAACAGATAATATCGAATACCTCAGTACCCGTTACCATAAACCAGTAAACTGTTGTATATAAGTACTAAGTACGAGTCCTAGTGTCTTTAGATCGATGCCAGCGCCTCTAACGGCAAAATTGGGAACTATAAGTAGACAATTTTGAAGTTTTGTGTCAAATTGAGTTACGAATGTGCAGAGCAGGATTTTTATTATTAATGAAAAATGTCTGCTTATAGTTTTGTTTTGTTGCTGAGTGTTCTAGCATCGATTTAAACAAAAAAAGAGTCAAATCAATGCGATCACGACTTAAATAAGAAGTTTATATAAAAATTGAAAGAAGTAGAAAAATCTATTCAAAATTGCACCCATAGTTCGGTTAACGGTTGAACTTGCAAAACTATATAAAGAATGGATCATATTTTATTGTTAAATAAGGTTGTTTGTGTAAAGTAAGGTGCATTTTTGTTGTGATTTTGCTCAAAAAACATTTCTATAAGTATTCGCATTGTAACCAAGGATTAAGAGATGTCTTTAAGGCTTTACGAACGCAAGGAAATATAGATTATCTATGCAGTTCTTTTGCCTCTATCATCGAATGTGATATCAAGAAAAATCACAGTTGTATTTTTAACCTAATTATTATTATTTCGTTTTACGGCTTCGTAGCTATTATTATGTTATCAATAAGTTGTCTGAACAAGCTAAAGGTTGTTTGTAGGCACCGATGTATCGATTCTAGTGTCGAAATATCGATTAGTATACGTTCAAAATATATTTGTTTATCGTAACATAGTTACATGAAAACCTGTTATTTTTATATTTGAATCTGTCAGTTGGAAATATTCACGAAAATATATTCGTAGATGTTATGAAATTATTTTGTGAATATTTTTAACTTGAAACTAATGTGATGGCTTAAGAATTTATGAAGGCAATTATTTTTCGGAAATGTCTGTTTATAAAAGATTTTGTCAAATTTGATTTTCTAGGGAGTCGATTTGTACTCGTTTGTTGTTGTATGGACAAGGTAAACTCGTCTTTATCTAAACTACGTTAAGGTTTATATTTCTGTCAATGTTTAATGGTACGTAGATTCTCTACGATTGGTTAAAACTTAATCAACTTATATTAGCGCAAAATTGAACCACATTAAAGTGTGAATAGGAAATATAAACATAGCAAATTCACCTTTATTCCCCGGATAATAAAACACATTTTGCTTCCGAGACAAAAACAAGCGTTGAGACAAAGTGAATTTTGAAAGGAATATGTGCATTATTTTGCGTAGATAAGGTTGAATTTGCCACGATAATGATTCGGCTATGATGCTAATAAAAATTGATCCTTAACCCAAACGAATTACAGTACAAATTGATTCCCAAATAAAATTCCACGTGGAAATGTTATACGTTGTAGTTATTCTTATGTTAAGAATATATACTTTAATTATATTGTAATAATTCGTACCGGTGGTAGTGTAGTGAGCTGTGAAGTGTGACTGTGCCAGGTTATTTATTAAGTTTATTAATTATCAATATTAATGTCGTTATTGATCTGCGATTACTAATTTATATAAGGATGTGATTGTGGTTTGCAGTTTGTATGGGAGTTGGTTAATTGGTATTGTGAAATCGGGAGTTTTAAGTGGTTTTAAAGACGTTAGCCGCCGCGTAGGTCACCGGTGGCCTATGCTAGCAAGAGGATTTGTTGATTTCAACAGTTTTCTGCCGCAGTCAAAGGCTTTACCTCTTTTCTATGCACATATGAGACATATAGGAAATACATCGCGTCTCGCTTATATTGTCGTTCCTGCATACCATGGGTTAACAGTAGTTTTGATGTGGTATGTTTTGAGGTCGTAAATAGTGAGATATAAACTTAGGTATAACTCAATAGCTTACTAACTCGTTGGTTAAGTGGAAGAAGTTAAAATCACAATTTGTTGTATATTTTTTAATTTATATATTATATTTCAAGTGAATTTTACAAGTGTACCTATCAGGTATTGTCTTTTTTTAATTATTAATTAGTAGTCATTCGTGCAATCTGTATTTTTATCTTTGTGTATAAGCTGGTCTTTTGTGGGTGTAACTGAATTACTAAAATAGGTATAACTCGGTCGTCTTTTTTTTAATATTTCATCCCTTTTACTCACAGTACTATTTTCAATTTAAAATCACTGAAATCAAAATCAACTGTATTGTTATAAGGTTTAGGTCGAAATTTTTATTTTTAATCGGCAGCTCAAGTTTCCATACCAACTGCAAACCAAACTTTTGTTGATAAACGATAATATCTATAATATGTATTATCAAAATAAAAAAAATAATGAAGGAAAATTTTTACGCCTTTTTACAAAATTTTTCTTTGTATAAACGAACTGATTGGACATGTTATAGTATAAAGGATGAATTTCTATATCGTAGAGTATATTTGTATGTATGTATGTAGTCGATTAGTGATATGTAATCTCAGATCAAACTAGAGAACTTTAGGTAAAACCATTATATAGCTGTGTCTTACATTTTTGTATTTAATAAATTCGTACCTTATTTGTTTACATATTGTTATTAATGTGAACCGGTCCCGGATATGAAATAAAATATATAAAGTGGTGACATTTTAATATTGTATTTTATTTACCTGCCTTTTGTATATTTGACTGTATTTGTGACTGCCTCGTTGGCCGAGTGGTCGCAAGTGTGACTGCCGGGCAAGGGGTCTCGGGTTTGATTCCTGGGTCGGGCAAAGTTTACAGGGTTTTTAAAAATTCTCAGTAGTAGCACGGAGTCTGGAATTTTATCCGGTATATGACAATAAGCTCGCCTCCTATTACATGGGACTCATAACATAAATAGTGAAAAGTGGGTGTTACATTGTACAGTGGCATAATGTGCACCTCTGCCTACCCCTTCGGGGATAAAACGCGTGATGTTATGTTATTTACCTGTATACCGAACTAAATTCTGCCAGCGGCTTCGCCCGCGTTATTAAAAGTAGGTTATCTTATTCTAACCTATAATCGGGGTTGATTATTATTACAAACATCCCGATTCCTTCATTCAGCCATTTTGATGTGAAACAGTAATAAACACATACACATACATACATCCTCACAAACTTTCGCATTTACAATATTAGTAGGATTTCAATTTCATCATCAAAGCAAATATACTGCCTAACTATTCTGGAGGCCTGTAGGCCTTCTCTCCCTATAAGTTTGCCACACTGGCGTAGCGTGCGTTGGTGGTGCCCTGTATAAAATTGTTTAAGGGAATTTGCCCAATGCAATGCCCTGGATCCTTAGAACCTAACGGGTAACCGGGGCTCC